CTATTATAAATGTACTGTTAGAAAGCCGGGTCTGACAATAAAGTTAAAGCTTTTAATATGTTAAATTATGCTTCAGTACACATGGGATCAAGATAAATGGAAGCAATTCTGAAGTGTGAGAATGATATAAAACATGCCTGGTTGCGTGGTACTATCCAAAAGGTTGTGGTGGTCACTACGAGGGTCGAACTCGCGACCTTGGCGTTATTAGCACCACGCTCTAACCAACTGAGCTAAGCGACCTTGTATGCCCGCTGCTCTAGTAGAACTATAATCATCGGATTTGAACTATTATATATTTATTCCCCCCCATAATGGTATTTTTGTTGTTTGATTTGTTTTCATTTAGCCCGTTCAGATACCCTATGGGCCCATGCAGGTATATCTAGCTATAATATTTACACAGGAGGAAACTAATCCGGTACAACCCCAAAAACATCTTTCTCATATCTACTGGTTTCCTGGGGTTTCCTACAGGAAGTGCGTTTACACTGTTCATACAGCGTGAATTCCGTCCTATCCGTGTCCACATCGTCTCATCTTTTCGCCCAATGCAATTACTACTTCTCCTGCGAGCCGGAACTGTTCAAACTAGCCTTTTGCCAGGATCCATTTTGTAATTCTCTCCATATCATCTGGGCTGCTCATCGCTGCTATCGAGGACTTCTCTCCCCATTACCAACTGAGGACACGCCAAGACCATATGTTTGACATCTTGAGACGGATATCCACACTGGCATTTTGGATCAATCAATCCGGGGACTTTCCTTCGATACAGATAAGAATTGAGACCATTATGCTCACGCCTTACATGAACTGTAGTGCTACTTTACTTCCTGCTAAGGTTCCGGTGGATATCTGAGGATGTGTAACCATAGGTAATCATTTTTCTGCGTGTTATCTCATCTGTAACAATATTCGAGGCTTTCCAATGTTTAGGATTTGCCGAAGCTCGATGACCGGATAGTTTCTCGTTCACTTGACGTATCCATGAGTTTCTCCGCCCCTAGAACGCGGCCACCTTACTGGCATCTTTTTGTCTCCCTTTCGCATTCTCCATGCCACAAACTCTGTTCCATTCTTCAATGTCTAGCTCTCGATTCTTGGCGTGCCTGTTCTATTTTTGTTATTTGTTTTTCAATTTGATTCCATAGTTGATTTCTTGGTTTAATTTAATTGTACTACTTGAGTCAACATCTTATAGCGCATTAGGCTCCTCTCTGACCCAGGCCACAGCTCTTACAGTGCCCCTATCCTGTCTAGTTACGAAAAATCTCTCTGACATAAGGCACATTACAAATAGCCATTTAGCTCAGTATTTGCCTACAGAATCCGGCCATCTTTTCCAGGGTACTTTCTATTAAAGGGTGGTGGAGTACATGGTCGTATATAATCGGTATCTTCAATTGAATGGTGGTGAAAACTCAGGAAGCTTTGAATATACTTGGGTAGTTATGGCAATAGTTTTATGGGATGCGAATAGTATCTTACTTGTGTATTGTTGTGTTTCAGATTATTTATAGGATAATTAACCAATCCCACATAGCTCCAGATAGCTCCGTAACTAGTCTCCTTTATGGGTGATCTACATGTGAATGTAGCAATCGGGGGTATATAATTTATAACTAAACATGCCACATTTTCTTGTCTCTGCATGCTACACTACGTAAATGACAATTTACTACTGATGTGAAAAGTGCATTTATAACATCTTCTGTCCTTTCATAGACGAAAAGACCGGAAAGACAAGGATGAACTATAGAGGAACACCCATCAGTATCCACAAAAACCTTAATAGGGCCCAGAGTAGCATAGCCATGCAGTTAAGAAGTGAGCATATTGGGTTCAACTCCTATCTGTACAGAAGATATGTTACCTAAGTAGACAGTCCACCATGCCAATGTGTATATCCGTCCCAGAATTTCAAGCACATCATCATGGCCTGCCCTAACTGGCCCAAGGAAGATGGGAGATACTAAGAAAGGCAGAGTCTCGGTTATCCAAAGAGATGCAGAATAACCCGAAAGATATAGCTAGAATTAAAAAGTGGATACAAAGGGAAGGATGATTGGAGCAATTTCGACTGACGCTTGAAGTCCAAGTTACGATGAGGAAGAGAGAGAGGAAAGTAGGGAGAGACGATCTTCTACCGTTAGTAAGGAAGTGGATGATAGCCGCACTGGACATAACAATAATAGTGCACTTCTTGAATGTAACATAATATCAATGTGTAAACAAATTGAAAAGTTGAGTGGTTTTACCATAATGGGTTCGGGGGACTGTTCTCAACACCTTTTAGTGGTGTGCTCTACGAACCTCCAGCTCTCACTGTAGAGTCTGCAGAGCCGAGATTGAGTTACAAAGTCCTCACTTCGACGAGGATTCCCAATCGCTTTCGCGGTCTGTATCGTCTTCATCTCTCAACACATTCCCCTATCACCATTATCATGAAGCTAACCACGATCAGATCAGATGAGATGGTCGAAGCCCTTCTCATCACTAATCATTGATTATGGAGGAAAAGCCATCCGATGAGTTTCCGGAGCATACCAAGCACCCGATACGGCGACGGTGAATTGAATCAAGTCGGCCTCTAATATTACAAAGAATGGAGATGTAGATGGATATACGCACCTCATGTGGTCCCGGTATCTAGGCCTCGCCTGGCTGGGGCTGCAGGTTTTTTGAGACTTTTTCCCGCGCACGCAGTTTCCATTGCTACCATTTTTATTTTTTTGGGTAGAAGGTTCCGTGGAAATGGTGGCTGAATGGATATTCATTATGTGCAATATATCAATGACCTTTCAAGTAACAAAAGAGGATGGGAGCACTGTACATGGTGTGGCCTGGGTCAGAAAGGAGCCCAATGTGCTAGATAGTCAAAGGCTCAAGTAGTATAAAAAACACACCTCTCTTTCTCAACTCTTACCTCATCACTTCTAGGTAAGACTATTATTCAAAATGACGGGTACTAGAGTTTTGTGATGGTGTGTGTGTGTTTATTCTGCCACTTGAGTATATGACTATCTAGCACATTGGGCTCCTTTCTGACCCAGGCCACACCATGTACAGTGCTCCCATCCTCTTTTGTTACTTGAAAGGTCATTGATATATTGCACATAATGAATATCCATTCAGCCACCATTTCCACGGAACCTTCTACCCAAAAAAATAAAAATGGTAGCAATGGAAACTGCGTGCGCGGGAAAAAGTCTCAAAAAACCTGCAGCCCCAGCCAGGCGAGGCCTAGATACCGGGACCACATGAGGTGCGTATATCCATCTACATCTCCATTCTTTGTAATATTAGAGGCCGACTTGATTCAATTCACCGTCGCCGTATCGGGTGCTTGGTATGCTCCGGAAACTCATCGGATGGCTTTTCCTCCATAATCAATGATTAGTGATGAGAAGGGCTTCGACCATCTCATCTGATCTGATCGTGGTTAGCTTCATGATAATGGTGATAGGGGAATGTGTTGAGAGATGAAGACGATACAGACCGCGAAAGCGATTGGGAATCCTCGTCGAAGTGAGGACTTTGTAACTCAATCTCGGCTCTGCAGACTCTACAGTGAGAGCTGGAGGTTCGTAGGGGACACCACTGACAGATGTTGAGAATAGTCCCCCAGAGTGTTGTGGTGATAGAAAGGACACGAGGGAAATTTTTTAAAAGGTCTTTTTTCTCAAGTAGGACCTCAATAGAATGTAACGATAGTCAATTTCAGCTGACAAGTAGCACCAATATAACTTTACAACTGCTTTGGATGTTTAACTCTTTAAAGTCGACATGGCCTCAGGCCCATATCAGATTCATTTGGGGTCAAGACAGTCATCCTTTTTTTACAATTAAGTCGTAGAAACTCAGGTTTGGAAAAATATAAAGCCAATATAAATCCTTCCTACCACTACCTCATCGTGAGCATCAAGGACCCATCTTTTTTGGGAAAGAATCTCAGCTCAGATAGCATTCTTGTCTGCAACTAGTGTATATCACCATTGAGCATATGGTAAAGGCTGTCCTCACTCAAATTTGCGGTGTTGAAGGATAAAAATTAATTATTATTAAGTATATAGTTATATCAAAGTGGTCATGTCAGGAAATGTATAATGTGCTAGCCCATACATCTAGCTTCCTTTGCATTCCGATCCGGACAAAAGTAAAAGATAGCTCTCATCCTGCAAGTGTGCAGTCTTTTGATAAGTAAAATTAGTCTCGGAATCTCAGTCTACTCAATGTATTTTCGATCTCATATTCATCTTGTTAGATTTTTATCTGATGTGGGTAGATCCACAGGCCCATTCGATTCGGCTCTATTGATAACCTGCTAAATTCCTCTTTTCAAATGTAATTCACATCCAAAAGTAGGATCAAGTGATTGACTTCGACTAAATCGAACTAGTATACCCAAAATCCGGATACTTGAACGCCGTTTAAAATCAACATTTCCAATCCTGCATGGGAGCTTGACATAATGGTCATTTCGTATACTTGAATAGGTATGGTATTGTAGAATGAAATATGTCAAGTGGCCTGCGCTTGAAATTACTCAGTTCGATTTATGTAGACCATCAGTCATAAGTGGAAGACGTAAGATCATGACTTGGAATAACTCCAGACAATCAAAGAGTCACCACTTATTGTATAACGAGAAAGAATAATTCGAAGTACCAACTATTATTTAAGAAATTTTGGAATTATCAAAAATATTAGCTTTGGATTTTATTATAGATAAATATCTTAAATCATATACCTCTGACTTTAGTCGCTAAGATAGAAGTAGTCTTAGATTACTTTCAAGACTATTAATGTCTTAAGGTCGCTAATAATAGATGCAACTTGAAATAAAAACTGTGGACTTGAAGTATTAAGATGTTAGAAGTTGCAGAGTAGTTTAATGCTCAATAGCCTCGACCGTAGAGCACCATTTCAGACTGGATAGTTATGTACTTCACAAGCTGTTATTGTAGAATCAACGGGCCCTGGATTCATATAAACGCTCAACTAAGATTTAGGATTAGAATATTAATTTCAAGAGACTTCATGCCGGATTTCTGCAGTTGGTTTCCATTCAATATGAATCCAGGATTTCCGTAAGCTTGCATTGAGATTTCTTTTGCCGTTAATGGCAGTGTGATTGTTACTATATCGTCAGAATCGTGGTAAGATGTAGATGCTATTCCAACGAGCATCTGGTTTTCTACAATCCACGCTGTAGAATCTAACGCCTGATGTCCCTTTACCGATAAATTTTTTATTGGCGTAGTTTGGAATAGGAACTTCAGCATACTGGGCTTCTGGAAGAGTGTTCCTAACGTAGCAGCTTCCACGATCACGGGGTCGTTTGGGGTCGTGTATAGCCAGTAAGTTAACCCTTTTGCATTATGATTGATTGCAAGCATCATCATACTGAGAGCTTCACCTGTACTTGGTTGTCTTGACCAATAATCTTGCTTTTCGAATAACTGGATAGTAGCCCACATCGGCTTGTTACCTCCATGCTCTAGATTGCTTTGGTAGGATTGTAAGATATCAAGACGATCAGATACATCGGATAAGCCACCCAAACAATTATCGCAGCCGCAGTCACCATACGTACTATTACAAGGTGTATTCCATTTAATAGAGTGGGTTGGGTCAATTCCAATTGGGTATGCATCTTCAATCACGATGTCAGCTCCTTGTGTATACTCAGAATAATAAAAGTTTTGACAGTTTATAACCATTTGTATAGGATGATAAGGATCAAGCTTTTTTATTTGTTCATATGCTTTGCGAGTGTTTTCGGTAGGATGATGCCATCCATCTGGCTCGTCGGTAAGGTGATAGCTGTAGAGAGAGCTACGATCTTTCCACATGTTGACTTGTGCTTCAATTCGTGAACTATTTTGATAGGCAAACTGAAGATTAAAAATATTAAACATGTTCAACTGATCCAGCTTGTCCCAATACTTTGTGAGCACGCCAGGATCATATGTCTGTTCTGGCGTAGCGCCGTCGGGGACAATATTGATTGTGTTGAAGCCCAGTTTAGCATAAGTCTCGAGATGGCTATAGTCGACTGAAGATGGGATCGTTACACTGCCATCGGCGAACATTCCATTTGGATATATGGGGTACCACCCGGTATAATTATTTGCAGAATTTTGAACATAGCTACCGCCATAGAGGTTATCAATCTTTACAGCACTTCCGGTCTTTCGAGAAGGTAGAACATAAACAGCCGTACTCGTGTTGTACAGTTGTTCGGAATTTGGTGGATACCCAATAACGGTGATGAGGTATGGCTGCAACCGGGCAGGGAGGAACCCGGTACTGAGAGATATCTTGTTTATCTCTTTACCAACGGTAACCATGATTTGACTTAATGTCATATTCATTTCAGAGCATTGGAGATCAATACTAAGTGTCTCAAAACTTGTTGTGGCATTTTCAGGCAGAGGCGTGCCGAACAAATTTGAAAATGAAGCATCTATAAGCAGCTCAATGGTCGGGTCACTATCTAGGAAGATTGTGTATCGAGGCTTCACGTCCAAATAGAGAGACTTAATTGGCTTTGCTTCTGGATACTTAAACTGTCCACTTGGCGGAATAGCAGTGTTTCTATAGAAATCATTAGTGATGTTTTTGGCACCGAGAGATTTTACCATACTCTGTTTGATAGGCTTTACCGCACCAAGTAGAAGATTCGCTCTGAACATCTTGAGCCGATTTTAGTAAGAAGAAGAAGAGATAGAAGTGCTTAGAGAGTCTCATTTGATACCTAATTTGGTTAGATCCGATTTACTTCGAGATGGGCCTGTAAGGACTGTTGATTAAGGATGGAGAATATTAGATTTGATGAAAAGACAGTGTATAGCAAACGAGTGAGGTAGATTACTGATTCCACACGAGATACACTCTTGTTCTTAAATAACAATTCGCATCTCTAATTTGATGTTGTGTCGCGCGACATCAGAGATAAACATGATTGGTTGAAACGACTTGACTTGTGCCTACGCAGTTTCACGGACCCGCTAATCCTCGTGAAATTTTAAACAAGGTGAGTGTTCAATTTGCAATTCTATGTCTATCAGGGCACGGTTTATATGAACCTTATTGCTTCGAAGTTTTGGCCACTTGCCGAGCCACGGCCGTGGATCTGAAAACATGCAGGATCAGGCATCAGCTTCTAGGGGCCCATAGCCATGGAAAGTCCGTCGCTGTTTCTTAGCGCGTGATAAGTGGACGAACAATTCACGTATTCTATCTAAGTCCCCGGTAAGGAGCTAGTTGGTCAGTTTGTTACTTGTTGTGCTTCTTGAATCAATGCTTGTCTAGCAAATTGAACACCTCTCTAGTCCAGGCCACACTTTGAAAACTGCTCCTGTCCTCTCCGGTTACAAAAAGAAATCTAATACAATGCTAATGATAGATAGCAATGTAGCTCAGGGTTCACCGTAGGAATTAATCCTCATTTTCTGTGAAATCTTCCCCCATAAAAAAAGAGACTGACAAAACTAGGCCACACGAAGTACTTATACCCATCTACATCTCCTTTTCTCTTAACATGTGAGATCAACTTGATCCAATCCACCATCGTCGAACAGGAAACTGCGTATGCTCTGGAAAATAATCGGATGGCTACATCTCAATTACCGAGATATACGGGTGGATAATGAGTAATACTTCGACTATTCCATCTGATCTGTCCGTGGTTAGTCTCATGATAAACATCGTGATCTTGGTATTGGGGTTATGTGATGAGGTGAAGACGATATGGATCGCTAGACTAGCCAGGGATGATGCGTTTCTTTGTGGCTATTTCACATATGCATAGCAAGCCGAGTGTTCATAATGGCACGGCTTAATGGGGAAGAAACTCTTTATGCCAGCATCAAGCTAACAGTCTAGCCTGAGACTATGAGGAGTCCAAACCTAGTCACGGATTAGTCAGCTAGGCATCTATTATGGATAATTCTACTGCAACTTTCTTTACCCCACACGCCACAAAGAAGTAAGGCCTGGCTGTTTTGCGGCGCATGCTTTTTAAGTGATTTTCTGGTAATTGGGCTGGATCTTTGGGTTGAAATGAGGGTTAGAAAGGCAGAATGTGACTTTCCTAGGCACGTAAGAATCTGCAGCGTTTGGCTTTCTGGCCTCTTCGAACGCTTCAAAAGGGTAGCTATTTCTCAGGACTAAGGACTGGTGTCAGTAACATGGGAACCCCACATGGAGTGGGTTCTATGAATCCTCCTGGCTGCCGTACACCCACAGATAGACTTTATTTCCCTGGTCAAAGAGAAGGAAGAAACCGTGGGACTTGGAGTCATTCTTAGCATGCCACTAGAGAAGGGGTTCTGATTTTAGTTTGTGTTGAATAGGAGCTACATAGACTGGGGACCAAGTATCCTTGGCCAGTAGAGAGAAAGGGCCTAGAAGCGCTTCACGAGCTTGGACTGGGAAAGCCCGCTGTGAAATGTCAATAATCTGTCACTAGTGTGTTGATACAACTGGTAGAATGAAGTCGTTAACAGGGGAGATTGATTCGCGTGCGGGTCGCAGGCATAATTATTGACTTTTGATATAGTCCTACATTGCTGCTGGGCATCAAAATTGCTTTAACTATAATCACGAAGCCTGTTAAAGAATATTCTTGCGGAAATTCGTGCAGGCCTCGTCTGTAAGACGCCGCCAGGTGATGGGACAATGTCTCTCAAAGATAGTCCAAGCTAACATACTCCGTCTCCTACTTGATTAGGGAGCGAAACATGATTGGGTCAAGCTGAATTCAAGCCAGATATTATTTGGCCCAAATGGAATGGATACTTAAGCTACCCTGGCTTGAATTGAGAGATCGGTCTAGACGAGGTACCATTGCACCGTCTGAGATTTATATTTTCCGTACACATGGGTAATGAACTCTCCGCCATCTTGTGCCATGACCCGCCTCCAACGACGACTTTCTCCAAGAAACCCGAGAGTCACTAGCCGGGTCGAAGCTGGGTAGATTCCAATTGCCTCTATCGACTAGGAGAGACAAAGTATTTTTATGAAACCAAGCAATGACTCTAATCAACTAAATTGAGACTGAGATATTACAAAATTTAGAGCGCGCTCGCGTTGATTAACATTTCACAGCGGGCTTTCCCAGTCCAAGCTCGTGAAGCGCTTCTAGGCCCTTTCTCTCTACTGGCCAAGGATACTTGGTCCCCAATCTATGTAGCTCCTATTCAACACAAACAAAAATCAGAACTCCTTCTCTAGTGGCATGCTAAGAATGACTCCAAGTCCCACGGTTTCTTCCTTCTCTTTGACCAGGGAAATAAAGTCTATCTGTGGGTGTACGGCAGCCAGGAGGATTCATAGAACCCACTCCATGTGGGGTTCCCATGTTACTGACACCAGTCCTTAGTCCTGAGAAATAGCTACCCTTTTGAAGCATTCGAAGAGGCCAGAAAGCCAAACGCTGCAGATTCTTACGTGCCTAGGAAAGTCACATTCTGCCTTTCTAACCCTCATTTCAACCCAAAGATCCAGCCCAATTACCAGAAAATCACTTAAAAAGCATGCGCCGCAAAACAGCCAGGCCTTACTTCTTTGTGGCGTATGGGGTAAAGAAAGTTGCAGTAGAATTATCCACAATAGATGCCCCTTTGTAGGCATAATCTCCCATAGATTGCTCAGTCTCAATGACTTTCGAAAAATTAAATGTTAACCTCTCATACAGAGCACATAAGTAAGCGAGCTGTAGTTCTTTTCAAAAATATGGACTAGAAACTGTCATGTCGAGTTAGAATTTAGATATCTATTAGGTTACCATGTACTTAACCCATCGACTTACCAGATCTTCATTTTTCGACTCAAATTCGTCTGATACCTTAAAGATGGCCGTTCACGAAACGCTTTGACTAAACCTTGATGGTGTCGATGTTGACCTCGGCGTGGCCCGGAGCTTATTGGTGTGTGCGCGTTTTCCGTCCAAAACTAGGCCAATAGATTTGAGCAAGTTCTCAAAACCACACTAAAAAACAAGTGTATAATCACTATCAAAAAACTTATGCCTCTCGGTCCCTATATTAGATTAGTACAGGTTTTTGTTATTTGAATCGTCACACCTGGATTATTGAAAGGATGTTCGTGAGTCCGAGTATACATGCGAACGACTGAAAATTGTGCTCTATGGCGAGGTCAAGTAACTTTGTGGCTCAACTAGCAGACAAAAATACTGAGTGTAGTCCACTTGGGTACTGTGGCAGCTACATAATTCAAATCGTGGATTCGCGAACCACCGACGGAGATTGATGGACAAAAATCTATACACAGTGATCATTACTAGCCTTAGGGTCCAGATTTCCCTCTTACTCCAAATTTTACCGTCACAGTGAATCGCATCAACTAATTCCGGTATACAGTTGGTTCAGAAAAGTTGTAATTCGCAATTCCTGGTCCAAAAATCGTTCAATAGAGATTTTATCACGGATAGATCTTAAAGAGCGCTTCACTATCGTCGAAATGCCATTCCTTCGAAAGCCCATTTGTAATAAAAATCTCTAAAAATCGACAAGCCATTAAATTCCTGTATTCATCAGTGAATCTTTTTTGGAGAGATTTAAGCTTGTGAAGTATCAGTGCAATAATATTACCACTATTCGACTTTAGTTATCTAAATATTCAGACATATAATGAATATGGTCTGTTTGTCGATTATGATGTGCCTGCGATTGCAGTTGGATGTAAAACAATGTAAAGGTCTTTATCAAGTATCTTTAATATATATATTTATTATGGAAATACCCTCCCGTGAAGTCTACTCTAGTATGTACATGTAAATGCCTTCTTTTATAGATATTCCCAAAGTCAAATATAGAGCACCTATATCCCCTGAGATATATGTTCGATACAGAGTTGTGACCTGCCTCCCATATTATGCGCAAGTCCGAAACTACGTTCTACCATGTCCGTCAGTTCTGTATTAAGTTTTCCAGCCTTCATTTCCGTGCACATATCCTAAAGTGTAATTTGCCCGTAGATGTATGATCAGCGGCGGAAACCTGCAGTCTAATAAACACAGTTTAGACACCATGGGACTAGAGTCTAACTCTGACAACCACCGAGCAATTCATCAGCTTAGCAGAAATGTTACAGCGGAAAAGTTTTATAATCAAATGAGGGAATATAGGGACAAGAAATCCAGATCACATGTTTGTGGCACAAATTGGATGCCCAGTGAGGAAAACAACCTGTCAATATCATGAGGATGTGCAAGGTAACTAGGAAGCTAGACTTAAGAAATTCTAGGACTTTCAGGGGCTATAATGACCTACGGACTTGATCAGGTCATGAAAAAGGTAGAGGAAGAACATGCGCTTCGGTACATGTACACTGGGTTCTCAAAATGAGCGAACTTGGCTTTACCAAAAATGTAATTAAAAAATAGGCATGTAAATGAGATGAGCTTACTTTTACTGCATAATCTAGTAAAATTAGTTCTGGCTAGCCTTACACCTGTAGAGCGGAGGTTTATGACTGAACGCCTATCAGCAGTGTCAAAAAAATTGGCGTGAAATATTCTCCCACAGCCAAGGTTCTGTATAAGTTAAGCTGATATATTAAGTAATTTCTCAAGGCTCCCTACAGTATAAAATCTTCATTCCTCTTAGGGTTGATAGCGACCAAAGACTCACCAATTCTACAGAAAATACCTAGTGCATCCTCATTTCTGTGACCACACTTCACATCGGCTCAGTCTGTAGCCCTGGAACAGGCGCCCACGA